ATTTGCTAAATCTAGGACACAATGATAGGTTTTTATTTCCCAACTCGATGTAGCCATTAGGGAGACAATATTGGGTACGGCCACATGAATAGGCAGCGTGACCTTATTTAATTCTCTGTAATCCATTGTCATTCTCCACATGCCATCCGACTTCCACACTGGCCATATGGGGGAGTTTTATGGGCTGTGGGCAGGTCTTACAATGCCCACTTGTTCTAATTCCCGCACCGTTCTCGATATTTCATCTTGCCCACCCGGGAGTCTATACTGCCTTACATTAGTAATCCGGCACAGTTTCGGCAGGCAAATAGGCCCATGTTTCACACGGCCTCTTAATATTGCCTGCACTGCCCGGATACTGATACATCTCTGTCCAAGGCTGAACTCTCCCACAGTTGTCTGGAGAGCCAGACCCCATAGAATATCAGTGCCCAGGATGTATTCCTGGACTGGGGCAATAGATACCTTATACTCCCGGGGTGGGAGACACCCAATCCCCAGTTTCAACCACGTTCAGGTGACAGGAATAGTCTGTCCCCCAAAGCCACCAATCATCACTCTGTCTCCATCAAATTTGGTCAGATCTCTGTAGATAATTGATGTTTCTGCTCCAGTGTCCACTAATGCCATAACTCTGATTATTTTTTCAGGACCAATATATTGTTAATTCTATATAGTGCCTCCGGTCCCATCTGGAGGCCCTAGGGGGACTAACATCCCTCATCACACCATTAATTGTGCTATGTCCAATTCTTCTGTTTCCGGTAGCTCAGGCATTGTAGCCCGAGACACCTGAGGTGGCTTTTTTTTTCCTAATAGGAACAACAAAATCCTCTAAGTTCCTTGTCATTGTTTGCATTCTCTCTATAACCCTTACCCCTGGTTTCTTAGGGTAGGTCTGAAATCTGTGGTTGTCCTTTAGTTGTTTCCACAGTTGAAGGAGGACATGGTTGGGCTGGTAGTCTATCTTAGTAAATTGGACCCCAGCCCAAATTAAATCATTCAACATTTGTTTTCGGGAGACCCTTATGGGCCCTGATTGAGGAGCTTGAGTAGCCAGCATTTTGGTTTTAGTCACTGGCAAGACCACGGCTTCTTCTAGCGTCCTAATGTTGTGCCTATTCCACAGGCTTTCTGTTTCTCCTAGATCAGCCACTAACTGGGCAGCCTGCTGGACTGCTGCTTCTGAGGCCACCAAGGGATTTAATATAGAAACCAGAGTACCATACAGATGAGAGGGGGCTTGCTGTAGAATTAAGTTTCTCATCCCTGCTGTGATTTTGACCATATCAGTGCCATCACATGTGTCTTCATAAATTGCTTCCCTTACACCTTGTTTGCAGATGTAATTTTGAAGGTTTATTGTTTATTTTCCTGATCAACACAGTCCGTTGATGCAGGAGCCTGGTCATTGTTTATTGACATGTTATGAACTTGGACTATTGGAAGACATAGAATTGTTTTTTTTTCCTGTTAATATGCCAAGTTCTTTTTCTAACCTTTCAATACTATCTTTCAAAAGTTCATTTTCATTCACTGAACTATTATTCTTTATTACAGCATTGTTTAAAGCATTTAATAGTGGCCATGCCACTATACAAGCAGAGAATTGTCTTTCTCTTGTGACTAATATATTTTTGCCTAGTCCTTGAAAGTAATCTGCTAGGCAATAAGGGGAAATGTTTCCCACAACATGTAGGGGACCCCATTTTTCAATGATAACTACCAGATCATAATAAGGGAATCCCGCAAATCTTGGTATCTGTCCTGGAATTATTTTATCTAGGGGGGTAGTGTTCTCCCCCTTGAACCATTTACAGAAATTCCAAAAAAAGGACATTCTTCCAAAGAAAGGACATAGTGTAAGTTTCAGTATATTCTGCTTGCCCACCTGGCTTGCCAAATGTACAAACAGTGGAAATTATATAAAGGAATATTATAAAATTTAATAATATTAAGATGTTATAATAATGAAATAAGCAAGAGAGTTAGGCACAGTGAGACAAAGAGAATAAATAAGAGGCTTACCCAAGTCGTGGGCTTGCTCAGGAAACTCCAGTGGAGTGGATCTTCCAAAGAGAGTGATCCTTTCTTACTGGTAGTCAGCTCTTAAATGGGTCTAGGAGAGGTGGAGCCAGGCTCCACCCCTTCCTGCAGCACAGGTGAATTGCTTTCACCTGTGCTCCCAGGGCTGACTCATTGCTCGCCTCAGGTGACTAATCAGAGGTTCAGGCCCTGACTCAGCAGTTCCCATACAATTGGTGTAGAGGTACTTCTGCTGGTCTATTGGCTGCGTTATCTTCTTCAGGGAGCCTTCCCGAATTCCTCTTGGAAAAATCTGTGATTTTTCTACTGCTGCTTTTTAAAAAGATAGCGTTCCTTTGTCCTTCTCTGTTGCTTCAAGTTAATTCTCTTCCTCTATCAAATGTAGTTTCAAGCTCTAGTAATGTGTCTAGCTAGCTTTCTACCCAGAACATTCTTGATCCTTCTTGTCAGTTGCATCCCATCCAACATCAACATGTCTGATCTCTCAAAGGTGTACTCAAAACCCTGAGTGTTACACCATCTATGCAGCCATTCATTCAACTGATCCATTTTTCCTTCTACCTAAGACCCAGTCAATGACTGAGAGGATCAAGGTGAATGCTACTTGTACTCCTGATCCCTTCAGTATTCTTCCAAAGGACATTAAGTCTCCTAGTATTTTGTAATTCCCTTGTTTCAGCCTCCTGTCCCCCAGCTTGAAAGAGTAGGAGCAGACAGTTGTTCTCTGTTTTTGTCAGATCCAGTAGCTTCTTCTTGATGTCCTGAATGCAGGCCCCCATCAGGCAGCAAACCTTTCCAGAGAGATTATCTGTGTGGCAAATGAGTGCCTCTTAGTGAGGAGTCTCTGATTACTAACACTGTTCACCTTTTTTCAATGGCACTGGTTCTGACTTTGGTCCTTGATTGGACCGGCTTAATGTGGTTGTCTGTTTCTGGGTCTGAACCATTACCCATATCCTCTCTTTTTCCACCCCCCAGAGCTTTGTATCTGTTGCTTAGGGGCACTTTGGGGGCAAGGGAGCAGGGGGGAGACAGGAACTGTGGGCTGATGTTATGAAATGTTTCTGCATCTAAAAATTGATGTATTTTATAAGAATATAGGTAGAAATAACATTTTCTCTAATAATCTGACTTTGCATCACAATGGCTGTTTGGAGGAAAAAGATAAACAGTTAGCATAGATCAGGAGGAGTTGTTTGAGTCCTAAATACCTTGAAGATGACAAGTTTATTCTTTTGTTTAAACACTTACTGTTGTGTATACCTGTTGTAAAAGCCTCAGCAGACTTTTCCAAAAGGATTAAGTACCTCAAGTCTTTTCTGCTTCACTTCTCATAGGTCATTGATCTGTTGAGCTTTTTCCATTCTAAGAGTCTGTTTTACAGTTTAAAACAAGTTATATATGTTATGAACTAAAATGTTTCAGATAAATATAGTTTCAATTTACTAAAAAAATATTAAAAATCAGCATAGCAGTGTGGAACATATGTAACAGTTATTTGAAACTGTAGAGTTCTTTAAAATCTCTTCATTTAATTGCTTTGTTCCAGATTACTAGAATAGATGCCAAAACATAACCCTTTATACTAATTTGTCAATTCTTCTCGTCTTTTAGGTAAGAACCAGAACAGTTGCTGAGTGTGTGGCTTTCTATTACATTTGGAAAAAGTCAGAACGTTATGATTACTTTGCTCAGCAAACAAGATTTGGAAAAAAGAGATACAACCATCATCCAGGAGTTACGTAAGTAAAATGTTCTCAGAATGTTTTCTCTTGAAAATCCTAAATGTAGAAGATTTTCATTTATTTTTCCCTCATCTCATTGCAGTGTAATGCTGCAGTGGCTATGACAACTGAAATTAAATCATTTTAGTCCTTGATTTAATATTAAGTAACCCATTATGGGTGTAATATTCTTTTAGGGATTACATGGATCATTTGGTAGATGAAACAGAAGCCCTTGGTGGAGCAGTGCATTCTTCAGCCTTGACATCTAATAATCGAACAGAAACAATCCCTGATCAACAGCTAAGCATTCTGAACTCTATCACTGCCAATGAGTTGACAGGTAAATCAAGGGAAAATATCTTTCTGTTGTGACTACATAAACTATTTCATTTATATTTGTGTTCATCTGTTTTGTTGTTTTTTCTACAGCATTGACAAATAGTGTAAATGCAGTCTGCCACACTTCAGATGTGAACTGCCTGGATGATGCCTTTTCTCCTACGGACAGCTTATCCCGAGCAGCAGTTAATCATGTGCCTGTTGGAACAGAAGAATTGCTCAACTTGCCTAGCAGTGGTGAAAGTGATTGTTTTAATTTATTTGAAACTGGCTTTTATCATTCAGAGCTAAACCCAATGAATATGTGCAGTGAGGAGACGGAAAGATCTGCAAAGAGACTGAAAATGGGAATTGCTGTCCCAGAATCTTTCATGAATGATGTCTCTGTAAATAACCTTGGTGTGGACTTTGAGAACCACGCACATCATATTACAACTGCCAAAATGGCTGTTTCAGTGGCTGACTTCAGCAGTCTATCTACAAATGATGCAAATGGTTTTATCAACACCCACGCTCTACACCAACATACTGCCCTTCAGTCAGAATGACTGTTGAAAATGAAACAGTGGGTACTTCATGCAGTAGTAGTAAACTTGAGAGCTATCAGGTTTGCTTAGTCTTTCACTGGAAATATGAATTTTGTGACATCAGTGATGTCTTTGTATGTATAAAACTATATCTTGATTTTTATCAAGAGTAATTTCTTTTTTTCAGTCCATAAATAAGGAAGTGTCATACAACATTTGGCAGAGTTTGAGACTAAAACAATTCTGTGGTGCAGTTTGAAGTTCTGTTCCAATTTTTTTAAAGCCTGTAGACAGAAGCCACTGTTTTAAAAACAGCACAGAAGTTCTGAACTGGTTGAAGTGGCTTTTTAGTATAAGTTACTTTTGCTGTGATGAATGCAGTGGAATAACAGTGTTTACAGGTACTAATCTTGACCCCTGCACAACGTAGCATTTTTTTCTTATAAAGGCAGGGATTGCTTGCTTTAAACTGCACAAACACACAAGGATGATTCTTAAATGAAACCTTTCTCTCATGCGATACTGAACTAGAGCGCTTCAATTTACAAAACAGCAACTTCATCTTGGTGGAAACTAACACAAGGGACTTAACATGAGTAAAGTACAAAGATGTATGCTTGGATGCTGTTACAAAATTATAGACCATGACTACCTTATACAAGTAATGATACTGCTAGGGGTGTCTGTGTACTTAAAACTTACTGGCTGTAGGGGAACTGTTAGGTCAGGGCTTGAACTGGTGATTGAGCACCTGGTGAAGAGGTGTGGCTGGCCTAGGGAGCACAGGCAAATTGTTTGCATCTGTGCTCCCCATGTGACTAGAAAAGGTGGACCTAGGGTGGAGCTACTCTTGGCTTATATAAGGGCCAGCATCTCTTAGGCTTAGGTTGCTTTTTGCAAGGGGGTGCTGTATGGTTAGGGGTTTATTTTTCCTATTGGGTGTGTTCTGGTATTGTTTTTGTATGTTGTTATTGGTTTGTTTGTGAATACTTTGCCTGGTATTGCTAAGAACTTGTTAGAAGCAATTTCACTTCTTTATGAGCAGAATGCTGGCTTAAACTGAGTCATTTCAGGGTGTTGTATTTTTCTGGGTTTTGTCTACAGCTTTAAAGAGTAATGTAACTGTAATGTAACTTTCCAAAGACAGCTGATGTGTAAAGCTACAGTCTGCACAGTTAAGGATTTACCACTAAACAGTCTATGATTTGGAAGGCATCTTAAATTGTTAGGAGCGCTGCAGTTGAAAGCATCATGGTTTTGGGAGTCTATCTAGTTTATATCAAAATAATAGAACCTTGCAGTATGTATCTAAAACCTTCTACTTGGTGTGGATTGTGTTTATTTGTTTTGGCAAAGTCATTGGCTGAAAAATGGCACTTTGCTACGTTGGTGAAATAGGAAAAGATCAAGTAGAAATGCTTCTTATAAGCTAACTATTTCAGTAAATTTTTATTTTGAACACTGAGTGCAAGTTAGCTATCCAGAAAGCTTATCTTGCAAATGCTTGTTCTAATTCTTGTGCGAGAGCTGAACCAAACATGGTATTGGCTTGTAACATGTTCTAGCATACAACTTAAAAGTTATTTAACTGATAATCTGAACCTTATTTCAGTAAAATTACTGCTTTTTCTTCATAATGTTTTTTTTTGCACTGCTTGTGTTATATGTTTAATTGCCACTAATTTGTTTTTATTATTCAAGTGATTAAATTTGCTTCGCTAATATTTGTATAATTACTTCAAGGTCTTGTTGAGTAATTAGGAAGTAGTGACATAATATTAGAAGGGAAAGAGGATATTTATTATGCATACTATGAACTGCATTGATATTGAGTTTTAGATGGAGAATATAGAATTTTCTTTACAGCATTGTAATGAAGATTTTAAGTGTTTATGCAGTAGTGCATTACCATATTAAAACTGAATTAGTTTTGCACAGTGGACAAAAGTAGAGAATTTCATTATCAGTTCTTAGCTTATGCATCTGAAATAAGTAACTAATATTTACACAGTAAATAATGGGTAGCCTTGGCCCTCTGTTGTAGTCTGATATTATTTAGTCAAGTTGTCAGCTTCTCATTGCTGTTTTGTGCTGAACTTTGTACCTTGTTTCTTCTGTTTATGAATCAACTCGTTTTATGTAACTTTGTAAGAAATACTAGCCATAATCCTTCATTGTTATACGTTCAAATTTCACTATGAACTTACAGTGAGTGGCTGGTATGTATAAAAGAAAAAATCATCATACAAAGATGACTTATACCAGTTGTGCTTACCTGAATGTGCCCATTCTCATTAGCTGATGCAGTAACATATTAAGTTCACCTATGCAGTGCTGGGATTTTAATGTAGACGGAGACTTGTCCAAGGTTTGGGTTGTCAGCAAGTTTGAATGAACTCTTTAGTTATTAAATAAAGACTTTTGACTAAAACTCAGGAAATTATATGAGAGGAAAAAAGAGTTCTGGCTAGTCGAATAGGTTTTAAATGATGATCCTGTTGGATAGCTAGCTGGTATTGTTTACTTCTAATTCCTTGTGGAAAATGAGGCAATAACTTGCAAGATCTTGTAAATGTGTAAATTTTTCATATCTTTATAGTTATCTATTTCACTGCTTACTGACTAGTTTTATGTGTATAACACTTCTGTGCGTGCTTGATGTCTTGGTTTCAGTTGATACAGTGTTAATAGCACACTGATGTCTTGGTTGTTGCTGAATGATGGGAGCCCACCCAGGGCTGTGCCAGGCTGCTTGGTGGGGAAGAGCCACTGCCTTTATGGCATGGCAGCAGGGCAGAGATAGAACAACTGTCATGAATTAGACAAGGGGTTATTCTATACCATGTGACATCATGCAGAAGGTTATAAAGCTGTAGAGAGTTGACCTGGGGATGGGCTGCTGCTTGTGGATTATCTGGGCCATCAGTTATTGAGCAGTGAGACATTGTGCTAGTGGGGTGTTGATCAGCAAACAGTTGTATTGTTAGCTGGGTGTCGATTGGCAGGTGGCAAGTAATTGCACTGGGGATATGTTATTGCATCTTTGTTTCTCTTTTTCTTGAGGGTGGAGGGGGAGGGTGAGTGAACAGCTGTGTAGTGCTTAGTTACTTGCAGGGTTAAACCACAACAGTCCTTTTGGCCCCCAGTGTAGGGCTCAAAGGATTGAGATAACACACTGATCAGATTTGATGTTAGAATAGGATTGTTTATAAGTGTTACAGTAGTTCTACAATTGCAGGTTGCAATGTTATTTTTCCTGTTTTTGGAGATCTTCCAGAGTCTTTTCATGGAACTGTATTATTAACAATATACTTGCTATATATGATCCCTGTTGTGCTGTTTACCATTTCTGGGAGCTAGGTTAAGGCTATCATTTTTCTGTACGACATTACACTGGTTGGGAAACTAATGTGTTATTTAGATTTGATATTGTAGTTATTGTCCTACTTTGAGAACAACATCTTGGAAACTATTAATAATGGCACTGTTTAGTTTGTATCCTTGGGGAGATGAGTGGGAGTGTTCAAACCAGCATGTTCTTATTGCTATGTCTCCTGAATTTGTTTTAGGTTTTATTTAAGGTTAAGCAAAAACTTTCAAATACCACTGGGGATCTGCCCTGAGGCTGGATAGCTGTGAGTAGAAGGGAGTGTGGAATGGTCTGGGGCAGGTACCTAGAACAGTGAGAACCCCACAGTCTTTTGGAACTTCTCTCCCAAGCAACTGTGGGATCCAAGAAAACTATAGTAAAATATTTGGAAAAGGTATGCCGTTGCCATTACAATCCTAGAGAGACAAACCGCTGCAACCTGTTGGAGACTGGCCCGTGCCTACTGAGCCCTGTTAAACACTACTCAGCACCCTGAAGGGGAAAGTGATCTCCGGATTTGATGGACAATGCAACAGCCCCTGTGGTTGCTCCAACCCCTGCAACAGGCCTTGTAGTTTAGAGAACCAGCCTGTGCCAGTATCAGTTGTCCTTATACGTAAGACAAAATAGTGGCTGAGTCAGCTTGCTTAGTAAGGGAAGAAACTTCTACTAACGCAAGGATGGAAGAGGATGAGGATGAAGCAGGGCCATCAAAAGGACAGGAGGAGGAAGAGTCAGAACTAATGGAGGCAATGGGTGAGCTGTGAGACATGCAAAATGACTTCAGTTGTCATCTGGGTAAGCATAGTCACCTGTCTACTCTGATGCTGGGATAATGGGGCCAGCAGGCTGGATTTAGTGAGCAGCAGGGCCAGGAAGCTGGAATTCCTTTCTGTGGAAGGGGGCATTGACAAAGCAATTACAAATGGGACACTAGCCTTTTCCCTGCAGAGCTCCCTCTTGTCAGCTGTGGGGAAAAAAAGAGATCCCTTCAAGGAAGATCTGGTGTGTTACCCAGGCAAATGGGCTGCAATGGAGAAAGGTATCCAGTACTGAGGGAATTAGCTGTGCTGGGGACAAAGCATGATATTGACCTGATAGTTTGTTATGTTTTGAAAAGCATTTATCTTGTGACAGGAGGCCTTAAACCCCTCCTGCGGGGGGGGGGAGGGGGGATTGGTAGATCAATTAAAAACTGTTTGATTGATATAAGGGGAGAACTCCTTTACTGAAATGGTAAAGGAATGTGAGATGATACAGAGTAATAAACTAATGGGCAAGATGAAAGTCTCCAAAACCATTCAGCACGCATGGCTCTCTGTTGGAAGAGAGATGACCCTTCTTCCAGGTGAGAGCTGCTTTATATCCTGAAACCTGCAACCACGGAAACATTCTGGGAATTGTAGTTTCTGGAAACAAAGAACCATAGCTCCTTCCCCCGGAGCTGGAAACAATGTAGGAAAGTACTGAAGCACTCTGGGGACCAGGAACTGCTACTCTCTGTCTTTGACAGACCACTGCATGATGTCATGATGTGGAATACCCATGAAAGACAATGTAAGTATCCACCCCTTATTCCATGTAACTACATCATGCTTAAATTGTACAATGCAGATGTATATATATTATACATATGCAAATAACAAACAATAATTAGCATTATATACATAGATGCATAGAAAAATGACTGACTTGTCTCCCAGTATCAAGTCCTCTTAAGGTATGCACTGAGTGTCCCATTTTTCTGCATTACTAGCCCAGTGGACCCAGGTCCCTGAGCAAAAGCAATCCCACAAAGAGGCTTGCTTTTGCTTGAGGCCTGAATAACCCAAACTGTTTTCCCTCGTACATTCTTCATATGTAGTACAGGGACTTTATCTCCTTCTACAGTATGTAAGGAACTGGACTGGGTAGGGACATATCAATTGGCAGATACATGTGTGTTGACTAACCAGGTGGCTTCTGCTAGACATAAAAACCCAATGCTTAAATGTCCTGTGACCCCTTGCTTTCAGCATAGTTTTTAAAAGTCCTTTGTATTGTTTGACTTTGAGAGTATTTTTAAAATGAGTCCCATTATCTGACTCAATTCTTTCTGGGGTGCATGTTGTCACAAGACTTAGTTTTTGAGGCCTAGCTTGGTGTTTTGGGTGGTGGTGTGGGGCATGGGATATGTTTCAAGCCACCTGGTTGTAGCACATGATGTTTACCATTGTGGGTTTGTGGCAGAGTGATATAATTGAAATAGATGTTTGAGAAGAATCTGCATTGGTGCCTTTCTTTGGGCATCTCCACCCAATCCATTCTCCAACAGTGAAGAATGTGTCATTCAGCCTCTGTTAGTTTTGCTCTTAGACTTGCTCAAATACTATTCAAAGTGGAGATGATAATACGATTGGAACTTGGATAAATGACAGAACTTCAGCCCAGAGAAATCTGGATAAATGTATGGACTGAATGAACTGCAGCCTCATGAAGTTCAGCAAGGAGAAACATGAAGGTCTATAGTCAATGCATCGGTACAGGCTGAACAGTGACAGACTGAACAGCACCTAGATGAAAAAGACCCAGAAACTACAGCAGTGGGTGCTGTGGTGAATAAGACCCAGCTGTGTTCCTATCACAAAGAATGCAAGCTGCATGTTGAGCTACAAAAGGGAGAATGTGACCAGCAGATTGAGAGGAGTAATTTTCCTTCTTTATTCACAGAAGCATAGAATCAAAGCATTGTAGGAGTTGGAAAGGACCTCTAGAGATAGTGTCCAACCCTGCTGCTAATGTATGATCTACTGTAGTGAACCTACAAGTAGCTGTCCAGATGATTATTCATTATCCCAAGAGGAGACTCAACAACCTCTCTGAGCAGGCTGTTCTAGCACTCTGTCACACTGACAGTGTTGTGGTTTTATGATATTTTTTTATTGGTTGTCAACAGTTCACTGGCTGGTTTGGCCTGGTTCTGTGACTAGCAGGGTAGAGGGATCCACAGATCTGCCTGGACCTTCAAGGTCAAGTTTTCAGTGAGCATGCATGAAAGAGATAAAACTTTCCCAAAGAAGCTCTCTGAGAGGGGGGGGGGGGAGAGAGAGATGATCTGAAAACTAAAAAGCAGCTTTGAGCCTGCATTCTCCACCAAGAATGTCAATAGTTCATGGGCTAGTTAAGCCTGGTTCTGTGACTAGTTAGTGGGGCAGAGGGATTTTGGCAAAATCAGCCCCTCCTGAAAGGGGACCCCAAAATAATTAAAAACAGTGGCAACAGTGGGAGGAGAAATAAACTAATTGACTAAACATGGTAGCAGAATGTGAAATAACACACTACAATACAAAATAATTAGAATGGGAAGCAAATAAATAAAATATAATGAGAGTATTGAAAAGGTGGATAGGCCTCACCATAACACTGAGGTGGGATGTGCAGTCTGGTTGAGCAGCAGGGAGGAGCTCCTGACAAAGAGGAGCACAACAGGAGACCTTGCCAGGAGTTACATCTCCCCTCTAATCTCAAAGCCCCCTGGGGAATGTAGTTCTCTTCCACACAGGTGCCCAGAACTTGAGACTTAACGCTTCAACTTCCAGTGCAATACATGATGTTAAGATGTGGAATACTGATGACCAAAAATAATAAAACCATGACATTCCACCCCTTATTCTACATGACTACAATATGCTTAATATATGCAAACAAGCCATAATTAACAAACATGAATCACACCAACCTATATATACACATGGAATTACTGACAGCACTCCCCCCAACATCAAATTCCCTTGTGGTACACATAGAATCCACTCAATGCTGTGATCTTTGACCAAAGTATTTACAAAAGAATTTTTGAAATGAGTCCTATCATCTGACTCAATTCCTTCTGGGGTGCCATGTTGCCACAAGACTTGTTTCACAGGACCCAATATGGTGTTTTGGGTGGTAGCATGGGGTACTGCATATGATTCAAGCCACCCATTGGTCCGGGTCTATTTGAGCCACCTCAATTTTGCCAGCTTGATCTACCTGATGGTTATTTTGCTGTTCTTCAGTAGCCCGACTCTTGGGCACATGAGCATCTACGTGGCATACCTTCATGACCATGTTCTTTATTCGGGCAGCAATATCTTTCCACAGTTCAGCAGCCCAAATAGGTTTACCCCTTCTTTGCCAGTTATTTTGCTCCCACGGCTGTAACCACCCCTATAAGGCATTTGCCACCATCCATGAGTCAGTGTAAAGATAAAACATTGGCCACCTCTCCTGTTCATCAGCATCTAAAGCCAGTTGGACAGCCTTTACCTCTTCAAATTGGCTTGATTCTCCTTTCTCCTATCTCCTGTTTAATCTGTTTAAAAGCCCGCTGCTGCTCAGGACCCCACACAAAACTGTTCTACTTCTGCATCACCTGAAAAAGGGGGCTTCCAATGCACCTATAGTTTGGAACATGCATTCTCCAAAAGCCCACTACACCCAGAAAAGATTGTGTCTCTCTCTTGCTAGTGGGTGGAGACATAGCAGTGATTTTGTTCATCACCTCTGTCGGGATGTGACGATGTCCATCTTGCCACTTTATACGTAGGAACTGAATTTCCTGGGCAGGTCCTTTCACTTTGCTCCACTTAATAGCAAAACCAGCACTGTCATGGTTTTGTGATTTTTGGTTTTTGGTATTCCACATCATAACATCATGTGGGGCACTGGGAGTTTAACTGTTAATGCTCAAGTTCTGGATATCTGCCTGGAAAAGAACTACTACATTCCCCAGGGGACTTAACAGTCACACAGAGGAGATACAACTCCTGGCAAGGACACCTGATGTGCTCTTTTTCATCTGCTTTTCATCAGCTCTCCTCCCACCTCCCTGCTGCTCAACTGGACTACACATCTCGCCTTAGCATTGTGGTGAGGCCTATCTACCTTTTGGACGTTCTCTCTCTCATTTATTCATTTTATTTGATTTATTAGCTTCAATTTTAATTATATTGTATTATAGTGTGTTATCTTGCATTCCAATACTATATTTAGTAAATTAGTTTGTTTTGCCCCAGATCGTTGCCACTGTTTTTAATTATTTTGGGGTCCTCTATTCCCCTTTTCCCGAGGCGCAGATTTCGCAAAATCCCTCTGCTCTGCTAGTCACAGAACCGGGCTGAACCAGCCCTTAAATGGTTGACACAGCACACAGAATGATCTGGATTATTTGTTCTCCTTTCTCAAAAACTTCCCTTCCTGTGTTGCCTCACACAGTGATGTCATCAATGTACTGTAAGTCCTCAGGAGCACTGCCCTGTTCCAGTGCAGCTTGGATCAACCCATGGCAAATGGTTGGGCTGTGTTTCCACCCCTGGGGCAAACGGTTCCAAGTATACTGAACACCCCTCCAGGTGAAAGCGAACTGTGGCCTACATTCTTGGCCCAAAGGAATGGAGAAAAAGGCATTAGCAATGTCAATGGTGGCATACCATTTGGCTGCTTTTGATTCCAG